TGCAGTCGAAACCGACTCAAAATTCACATGCGGATCCATTCTGGTGAAGAATCATACCAGTGCTCCGTATGTTCACGAGCTTTTACTACAAATAGTGATCTCATAAGGCACATGAGGATCCATTCTGGTGAAAAACCATACCAGTGCTCCGTATGTTCACGAGCTTTTACTACAAATAGTGATCTCACAAGGCACATGCGAATCCATTCTGGTGAAAAATCATACCAGTGCTCCGTATGTTCACGAGCTTTTACTACAAATAGTGATCTCACAAGGCACATGCGAATCCATTCTGGTGAAAAATCATACCAGTGCTCCGTATGTTCACGAGCTTTTACTACAAATAGTGATCTCACAAGGCACATGCGAATCCATTCTGGTGAAAAATCATACCAGTGCTCCGTATGTTCACGAGCTTTTACTACAAATAGTGATCTCACAAGGCACATGCGAATCCATTCTGGTGAAAAATCATACCAGTGCTCCGTATGTTCACGAGCTTTTACTACAAATAGTGATCTCACAAGGCACATGCGAATCCATTCTGGTGAAAAATCATACCAGTGCTCCGTATGTTCACGAGCTTTTACTACAAATAGTGATCTCACAAGGCACATGCGAATCCATTCTGGTGAAAAATCATACCAGTGCTCCGTATGTTCACGAGCTTTTACTACAAATAGTGATCTCACAAGGCACATGCGAATCCATTCTGGTGAAAAATCATACCAGTGCTCCGTATGTTCACGAGCTTTTACTACAAATAGTGATCTCACAAGGCACATGCGAATCCATTCTGGTGAAAAATCATACCAGTGCTCCGTATGTTCACGAGCTTTTACTACAAATAGTGATCTCACAAGGCACATGCGAATCCATTCTGGTGAAAAATCATACCAGTGCTCCGTATGTTCACGAGCTTTTACTACAAATAGTGATCTCACAAGGCACATGCGAATCCATTCTGGTGAAAAATCATACCAGTGCTCCGTATGTTCACGAGCTTTTACTACAAATAGTGATCTCACAAGGCACATGCGAATCCATTCTGGTGAAAAATCATACCAGTGCTCCGTATGTTCACGAGCTTTTACTACAAATAGTGATCTCACAAGGCACATGCGAATCCATTCTGGTGAAAAATCATACCAGTGCTCCGTATGTTCACGAGCTTTTACTACAAATAGTGATCTCACAAGGCACATGCGAATCCATTCTGGTGAAAAATCATACCAGTGCTCCGTATGTTCACGAGCTTTTACTACAAATAGTGATCTCACAAGGCACATGCGAATCCATTCTGGTGAAAAATCATACCAGTGCTCCGTATGTTCACGAGCTTTTACTACAAATAGTGATCTCACAAGGCACATGCGAATCCATTCTGGTGAAAAATCATACCAGTGCTCCGTATGTTCACGAGCTTTTACTACAAATAGTGATCTCACAAGGCACATGCGAATCCATTCTGGTGAAAAATCATACCAGTGCTCCGTATGTTCACGAGCTTTTACTACAAATAGTGATCTCACAAGGCACATGCGAATCCATTCTGGTGAAAAATCATACCAGTGCTCCGTATGTTCACGAGCTTTTACTACAAATAGTGATCTCACAAGGCACATGCGAATCCATTCTGGTGAAAAATCATACCAGTGCTCCGTATGTTCACGAGCTTTTACTACAAATAGTGATCTCACAAGGCACATGCGAATCCATTCTGGTGAAAAATCATACCAGTGCTCCGTATGTTCACGAGCTTTTACTACAAATAGTGATCTCACAAGGCACATGCGAATCCATTCTGGTGAAAAATCATACCAGTGCTCCGTATGTTCACGAGCTTTTACTACAAATAGTGATCTCACAAGGCACATGCGAATCCATTCTGGTGAAAAATCATACCAGTGCTCCGTATGTTCACGAGCTTTTACTACAAATAGTGATCTCACAAGGCACATGCGAATCCATTCTGGTGAAAAATCATACCAGTGCTCCGTATGTTCACGAGCTTTTACTACAAATAGTGATCTCACAAGGCACATGCGAATCCATTCTGGTGAAAAATCATACCAGTGCTCCGTATGTTCACGAGCTTTTACTACAAATAGTGATCTCACAAGGCACATGCGAATCCATTCTGGTGAAAAATCATACCAGTGCTCCGTATGTTCACGAGCTTTTACTACAAATAGTGATCTCACAAGGCACATGCGAATCCATTCTGGTGAAAAATCATACCAGTGCTCCGTATGTTCACGAGCTTTTACTACAAATAGTGATCTCACAAGGCACATGCGAATCCATTCTGGTGAAAAATCATACCAGTGCTCCGTATGTTCACGAGCTTTTACTACAAATAGTGATCTCACAAGGCACATGCGAATCCATTCTGGTGAAAAATCATACCAGTGCTCCGTATGTTCACGAGCTTTTACTACAAATAGTGATCTCACAAGGCACATGCGAATCCATTCTGGTGAAAAATCATACCAGTGCTCCGTATGTTCACGAGCTTTTACTACAAATAGTGATCTCACAAGGCACATGCGAATCCATTCTGGTGAAAAATCATACCAGTGCTCCGTATGTTCACGAGCTTTTACTACAAATAGTGATCTCACAAGGCACATGCGAATCCATTCTGGTGAAAAATCATACCAGTGCTCCGTATGTTCACGAGCTTTTACTACAAATAGTGATCTCACAAGGCACATGCGAATCCATTCTGGTGAAAAATCATACCAGTGCTCCGTATGTTCACGAGCTTTTACTACAAATAGTGATCTCACAAGGCACATGCGAATCCATTCTGGTGAAAAATCATACCAGTGCTCCGTATGTTCACGAGCTTTTACTACAAATAGTGATCTCACAAGGCACATGCGAATCCATTCTGGTGAAAAATCATACCAGTGCTCCGTATGTTCACGAGCTTTTACTACAAATAGTGATCTCACAAGGCACATGCGAATCCATTCTGGTGAAAAATCATACCAGTGCTCCGTATGTTCACGAGCTTTTACTACAAATAGTGATCTCACAAGGCACATGCGAATCCATTCTGGTGAAAAATCATACCAGTGCTCCGTATGTTCACGAGCTTTTACTACAAATAGTGATCTCACAAGGCACATGCGAATCCATTCTGGTGAAAAATCATACCAGTGCTCCGTATGTTCACGAGCTTTTACTACAAATAGTGATCTCACAAGGCACATGCGAATCCATTCTGGTGAAAAATCNTAAGGAATGAATTTATTCATTTTATTTAGAATCATGATTCTCAGCAGTAAAATTTTATTTATAGTTATCACGATTTCCAAGTTTATATATCCAGCTTTTATTAAATTTTTAGGGAATAGTTAGATACTTTTTTTTTAGTCTTACAAACTAATTTTTGAACTAAATATTTAAGTAATTGTTGTAAAAATAAAGTAAAAATAATCGCTGTGCAAGAAGTTTAATTTTGAAAAATATTTAAAAATGGAATTGTTAAATAAATACTCTGCAAACATAATACAAACAAGAATGTAAGTTCTTAGAAAAGTGTACACGGTCTGGTAAAAGATCGACAAAATCTAGAGGATCTTCTTTTCAAGGAGCGACACTTTATGTAATTTAAATAATGAAATAATATTTAAAAAAAATAAAAAACATTAGATATTTAAGCTAATTGTCAGTTATCTTAGATTGACAATTGCCGTGAAAAAAAAACAGGAATACTTAATCTCTAAACGGTAGTGTTGCGATGGATGATGCTTCTGACAGGATTTTATGAATATTTTCACTGTCTGTTTGCGGGGGCTTGGCGTGCAAAGGGGGGTAATTAGTTAAATTATCCCTCAACTCAGAGCATTTTTTAAAGAAAATAAGAAACAAATATTTTTGTCTTGATCAGTACGTCTTAACTTTTTTGCGGTGTTTGTCATACTGTTTATAACAAATATCTTTTAATTTTCGTATATTTTTGTATTCGGTGATTAATCTCTTTTTACCCATGTTATGTTTCCAAGTGAGTTATATCGTTAAATAAAGTAAGTGCAATTTTGAGATTTTGTATGATTGAAAAAACAACAGAAATTCAAGTATAATTTTATCTTTCTCTTTACAATCGATGCCTGTTATTTATTGTTATTTCTCTGAATTTTCAATGACTATTTATAACTTTTTGTCTCTTCTTTGAACATCAATCATTTTACGTATTTTTTTCATGCAAAAAATAATTTGTAAAAAAACAAAAAAATTGTAAGAATTACAATTCTGTAAGCATACATTTTATTTAAAACATACGTAATCTCAATTGTGCCCAGATAATTAATTGTCATCAAAAGAAACCAAAAACCTTTTTTTCCTACGTAAACTCTGGAAAAGAGAAAAATACACCACTCTCTTGCCACTTATTCACAAGCACCGATTTGAAAACCAAATGATTGTCACGACGGGCTAGGATAATGTCTTCATTGAGCACCTACTTGAAAATCAAATCCTTCGGGGAGAGTGGAAAGTAAGATCTTGTTTTTTCTTTCTTTCCATACGGTCCTGCAATCACCGATTCATCGATATAATTGCCGGTCACTTATGCTCGGAATCGTTCCTTCATCCATAATCTGTTTTTTGTGCAACCGATACGTAAAAAACGTTCGTGTTGTATGAATTCAGTTGCTAGTTTTTGTTTTGACAATACGCGAATTGAGTAATGTGCTGGCGATTACCGGTGTATGAATAATGCATTAATAAGCGGCATTAGGTACTCATTTTTCGGAAGAATTCGATGAATAAGAAACAGAGTCGGGTCTCCAGACAGTTCGTGTTGAACTAACTACTCTTTGTAACGTTGAATGTTTTTGGTTGGATAAGTTGGTAAAAAATTTTTAAAAATAACTTACATATTAGGATTAGTGAATAAAATGTACATATTTCTTTATTCATTTTTTTTGGTAATCAAATAATTAAATATAAAATGAATATACTATGATTACATCCCGTATGCACTAAGCGCAGTCTTTCGTATGTTAAACGTCCTATGATTTCTTTTTATTTTTCTTTTTACAATCAAAAATGATACTTCGAAAAATAAAAATTTTTACAAATTACAAAACAGATTATTTGACGGTTTTGTCCTATTTAGCTTTTGCCTCCGCATCTTTGTTCTTCATGTCGATGACAACCTGCAAAAAGATTTTTATTTAATGAATCATTGTATTATACGAGTGAATAAATACTATTGACGTTAACAATGATACGAACTTTTCCACAGCCCTTCATTTCGGAGACAAATTTGTAAGCTTCGTTAACTTTGTGGAATCCAGCCACCATAGAAGGAACTGGTTTGATTAGCCCTTCTTCGAAGAATGATATCACCTCATCCCCAGTTTGCCTAGTGATCATTACATTGGATGAATAATAAAAAATACAAATTATTCAAACTTAATAATACCTGTAGAGTTCATTTTTCCTTTTTTTGTAATCCATTAAATCGATACCTGTCACGGTAAAGAAATCTTCCTCTTCGTCTTTCTTTGCATCAGCTTTTTCCTTACCTTCATTTGCCTCCTTACTTTCTTTTAACGCATTTTTACTAGACTTTGAGTGCGAAACTCCAGCCACTATTATTTTACCTGTTTAAAACACATACACGGATATTGCTTTTTTATTATTCTTGTTTGACAATCGTTACAAAAAACAAATGATTTTTTACCTTCTTTCGACAAATGCTGTACTACAACTCCAAAATTGTTATCCCGCAATAAATGTTTAGAAGGTGTTCTGGACTTATAAACGTTGGTGAAACTAAAAGAATAATAACATTACCTTATGTGTGTTAGGTCAAAGGAGGCCGTATTGATGTGATAAACAGTGTTTTTTATCTTACGCGTAGAGCACTTTTTTAAATTGCGCTCCCTCTTCTCCTTCAAAAATACCCTTGATATCACGTTCTTTTGCAATTCCCTCAAGTTCTTTTATAAGCCTCTTTTCGTTGTAAGTAAGAGCATGAAAAGCTCCTCTCTCGCGAATTTTATCTGCTCTGTCCTCTGAAAAGCCTACTCCAATGACCTTTGACAATAAACTGGTTTAAGTTGGGATATTATAGCATTAAAATCTGTTGTTCACTTAGTGATCTACCTGAGCTCTAAAAACGTTGGCAGCAATGTCAACTGCTGCTAGTCCAATTCCACCAATGCCCACGTTGATCAAAATCATATCTTCTTCTGATATGGACCCATACTTTTCCAATCCTATCAATGCAGTCATGTAGTTTTCCAACAAACACACTGCATCGATTGATTTAATCGAAGCTGGTATTTTCCAGACATCCTGCAAAAATAAAACTACTATCTCATCACCATTGCAACACAATGTTACATAAACACCTTTTTAAACTTACGTTGATTTCTGCCACACAATTATCAGCTAGTCCACCAAAACGTTCTTTGTTCAAGGCAACTACCTTGTCGCCTACATTGTAGCCCGCCTGTTTGGCACCTTCGCTGACTTGGATCAATTTGCCAGACAACTCGTAGCCAGGCACAAAAGGTAAACTTTGTTCTCTTGGATACAAATTTTCACACAACAGTACATCAAGTCCATTTAACGCACAGTAGTTAACGTCAATTAACACCTGAGCAAAAAGACACTCATGAACAATGGGAACTGTTTAATATGATGATGTATCCAAGTTTCAACTCACCTCCGTGGACTGCAGTAATTTTGGCGGATCAACGATTTCAATGTGGAGTGGCTCTGAATATTTTTTCAGCACCGCAGACTCAATTTTTCCCAACTCGTTGGAGTTGCTCGGATTTTTACTTGCATCATCCGCTTTCAGTCTAACGTTGACGGTAAACTTGACGCACTTTTTATTATTTCGCGATAACAGGCGCGATATTAATTGACGACTAGCTGAAAGTGACATTTTAAAAATATATTTTATGTACAATTTGAAAATAATAAATGATATAAGTTGGGCAAAAACTATTTCTCCTATGGCCGGTGCTCTCCTGCATAACCTAAATATGTGTATTAGCCACAGGCTACAGCATCCAAAAAAGCTTTCTGCTACAACGCGTGTATATATATATGTTTATTATACACATACATCTTTCTCGAGAGAGAGCTTAGACTTGAGACACGCGTTCTGGGGAGGCAACGCGTTTGCAGTCACAAAAAGTTATTTCTTTTTTTTTAGCAGGTTCGACCTTATCCCTCCTTTGGACGTTGATCTAGTTAACAACAAGGTTTTTGTCGTGATAACGAAAAAAGTGTGTCTACAGGCGTTTTGTTTTGAGCGACCACCACCATGGCAGTAGGTAAAAATAAGGGGCTGTCTAAAGGAAGCAAGAAAAGTCTCAGAAAGAAGGCGTAAGTCATCAAGTTTTTGCCTGATTATTTACCGGTGCCCATTTAGTGTTTTTTTTTTTACGTAAACACGGTCATAATAGTAAAATGTGCTGTTTGGGAAATGGTTGGTTATTCTAACCTGTATGGCGTGTCCACTTGTCCAATATTCGTATTTTGTTCGTACTATTTGCGGAGAGTCGATGATTGGATTACTTTTTACTCCATTTATTGATAAACTCCTTGTATAAATCAATCACTCTCCATTACTACATTAATATTTCTTTATTATTGCAAGCAACAAAACTTTGAAAAATGCCAAATTAACTCTGTTATTTCTTTAGTTTTTTTATCCATTTAATACTGAATAAGTATTTTTTGAGCCGAGAGTTGAACAACGCATAAAAGTCCATTTTGCAATGAATTTCTGCTTTTCAGTGTCGATCCTTTCACTCGCAAGGACTGGTATGATGTTAAAGCACCATCAGTCTTCACTGTCCGGCAGGTTGGCAAGACTCTGGTTAACAGGACCCAGGGAACAAGTTAGTTTTTTTTGTTACATACTCTGAATGCTGTGATTGATTAAAATTCCAATCCTATGAAAAAATGACAAATCCAGGCTAGTCAGTTGCTGATAAGTTTTTTAGTTTTTCATATAGCAAAGCAAAAATATTGACATTGTGCATGTATGCTAGTAGTGCTGTTGACTAGCATACAAAGATTTTCCAGTATAGATTGTTTTCTTAGTTTATCATAAACCTTAAACATTAATTTGATGAAGTAAAAACTTTTGATGAATTTCTATGTTACATATGATGGAATGAATGGTACAAGTAATTTTCATGAGACAAAACTAAAATTTGCCCCAATTTTCAGAAATCGCCTCGGAAGGATTGAAGCACCGTGTATTTGAAGTTTCCTTGGCCGATCTCCAGGGCGATCAAGGTGCTGAGCGGTCTTTCTGTAAATTCCGACTCATTGCTGAAGATGTTCAAGGACGCAACGTGCTCACCAACTTCCACGGCATGGATCTCACAACAGACAAACTTAGATCTATGGTTAAAAAGTGGCAGACCCTGATTGAAGCTGTAGTCGATGTCAAAACCACCGATGGCTACAGCTTGAGGGTATTCTGCATTGGATTCACCCAAAAACAGCAGTCGAGCCAACGCAAGACCTGCTATGCTCAGCACTCGCAGGTTAGTTCTGTTAATCAGTTAATACTACTTTGTATACTTCATAAATTGACGTTGGCTGTATAATTTGTACTACACGCGCAAGATGACGTTGATCAAAATCTCAATATTTTGTAATCTTATTCTACTTGCGGAAATCAATAAGCATTCACTTACCACGCTGCATGAAATTTTATTCTGTCAGCGATATTGAGTATTGCTACACCACTAAAATCGTAAATTAAACCTATAAGTAAAATCAAAAGCAACGATCTTAAAGATTGTTATTCGCGCAGGTGCGAAACATTCGCAGGAAAATGGTTGAAATCATCACTCAAGACGTTACCAAGAGTGACTTGAAGGGTGTTGTCAGCAAACTATTACCTGACGCTATTGCCAAGGACATTGAAAAGGCATGCCAGGGCATTTACCCACTTCATGATGTTTGTATTCGTAAGGTACGTACGACTTGTCTGTCACTTTTTAAGGATTAATAAAAAAAAATTGTATGTGGAAGTCAATAAATTCCGTAGTGCAAAAAGTTGAAACAATAAACTACTGTAGCTTGCACCTTAGTTATCTTCTAGAAATGATAATCATTTTTTTTTTGTTTTTATTTAGGTTAAGGTATTGAAGAAGCCCCGTTTCGAGTTGAGCAAGCTTCTCGAACTTCACGGGGATGGTGGCAGCAGCAAGACTGCCGAAGGTGGCGAGACTGGATCAAAGGTCGACAGACCCGAGGGTTACGAACCCCCAGTGCAAGAGAGTGTCTAATCGGATATGTGCTCATTCCATCCTATCACATAATAAAAAAATCTCAATTTTTTAATGATACGTCATTTGAGTTTCATTTTTATTCCTCAGTTATTTTACAGTTCATTCTCTACGTGTTTATGGACCGTTACGAAACTATAATGCAAACAAACTGTTTTTCAATGTTTGTTCGTACTTGTATGTAGTAGAAATAGTAATCGTTAGGAAGTTTGAATTTCGCGGTACAAAAGAACGGACAAGCTCGACTGCAGGTAATGTTTGTTCGATCGATAATTGTTCGCACATTCATTACTTACTGCTGGTAACAAGAAATTGACCAAACTTCTTACCATTTTATGATAACTATAATTTTTGCAACATTAATAAAAATTTTGTAATAATTTATATTTTGTATTAAAAGTATATTGTTAGTGTGAGAATCCGATAATCATGACGAAATATAGCTTTTTATTGTATCTCAACTGGTTTCTATTGTATAAATTGTAGTTTTGGTAAATAAGTTCTACAGTTCGAACGACTTCAAAAAGTGGCGCTTCCTGCAGCAGAAACATTTCTTTAAACAAAATCGATGAAAACAAAGCTGCAGACGTGATCGGTATTTCGAATCGGGGTTTTTAAATCGCTGAGTTGAAAAAAAAAATGATCGCCTTAGCTACTTTTCACTAGACTACACAAATCTCTCGGTCGTATCTCGATTCAGAAAAAATTCAGCTTAAGGTCATTAGAAGTCGGTAAGCTTATCATTCTTCAGAGCTTCGTTTTTAAGGTTAAACATAGCATTGTTGCGAGATAGATTGTAATATTTTGCTACCTTTTTTCAATTTTTGCTTGTAAAAAATAAATTGAGCCGTCATCTTCGTAAATAGTTTTTAGCAATGTGAATTTATATTACAATATCGTAAAAAATCAAAATGTATTATATTAAGTTAAATCAGACAACTTTTGTACAGAAAATGTGGCCAATTTTCATGGGACTTTTGAGAAGGTACACGCCATACATAACTTTGCCTTTTGCTGCTGTAGTTGGATTTGCTGGATATCACATAGAAGGATGGATATCTGATCGCTACACACCAGCATCACCTCCAATATCACAAAAAAGGCAAGAACGTCTGTTGGAAAACATTGATTCCAGCACAACAAGACAAAAGCACAATCCCTTAGAAGTTAATTTGTCTCCCTCTTTGTCTTCATAAATTGTTGTGTTTGGCATCAAATGAATGTACATTTGTAATATTTGTTGCGCGTAACATCTGTTGTTAATACATAAGTAGGTATAATTGTAGATTAACTTCAATGAAATAGGTGAATGCAGATTGTGTGCCATTTTTTACTAAAAATGTACCATACAAATTTTTTCTTTACTTAACTGTCATGACATTGTTTAAAATGAAAAAAAACCATTATTCAACGATTTTCATGCAATGTGTTTTATTCGTACAATGTAGGAATTCTTTTAAAAGTTGCAAATATTAGATTAAGACATAGTATACAGTTCCACTGTTTGCTTATAAATTTCAAGCTTGTACTGTAAATTTGTAAGTTACAACATGATAGTATTGATCATTTGGTTGTAGAATGCTGTTGGGAAAGTTTTTCTGAAAGAAAAAAATTCGTTTGCAAATGAGCATTGAAACATATTTTATCTGACCTTAAATAGCTTACTAACAACTAATTATCAACTGGAAATATACTCACATGATTCATGGCATCAGGGTAATTCTGAGTTTCCAGACAAAGGGCCCCGTGTTTGGAGTAAGTGTGGCCCTTTTTGCCGGGTAAAGCTTTGTTGGAGTCAGGAAGGGAGTTGGAGGTGTAAAATTGCACACCCGGCTGGTTGCTAAAAACTTCGAGTGTTCTTCCAGAATCGGGATGCACGACTTTGGCAACGAATTTCGTTTTGTAATCCGGTTGTCCAGGCAAACAGAAGTTGTAATCGTAACCACCACCTGGTACTTGGTTTATGACTTTGCCAAGAAGGGTTTGCTGTCTCAAGTCGAAAATTGAATCATCCACGTTGCGAATCTCACCAGTTGGAATACTGTCTTTGTCCGTGACTGTCCAGCGATCAGCATTTATCGAGACTGTGTGCTTGTAGAGTTCGGTTGAGTTGGCTCCCTGAAAGAGAAATTTGGAAAACGTGTAGTTTTATTAATTAATTAATTTTCATCATTTATTGTGATCAAAAACGCTTATCGATAAATATGTGGACATAAATTTCATTGAAAATATCTTTACAATTCAAGGTATTATTATTAATTATTAAAATCAAAATTTTTTCGTATCCGGTGGCGCATGTTGCAAAGGCAAGCACTGCTACAACGGGCCCTAGGAGCCCCTTGTGCTTGCCAGGGTTGGATGCGCACCAGGTGCGAACTTTATTTTTTTTGCTAACGGCACCAAAAATATTTAGAAAATGCCTCAAGTAAAGAAAACTAAATTAAACACAGTTATGATAATTTGTTTAAAAATAAGTAATTTTTAAAAACTGAATCATTTTTTTTTTTTTACTGTAAGAGGCGATAATAAACTAGCTTATAGAAGAACAGTTTTTGAGAAATACAAATATACGAAAATTAAAAAATACATCTTTAATCGAAATATTTTTAGCAAAATACGTTTAATTCTGTAGTACTTTTATATTCAATTCAATGTGCATCGCTTTTTGAGTTACAACAGTCGAAATTTAAATGTAACTTTAGTGTATTTGCTCGTACGTCACAAGGACCACATTCATCGGTAGTCTATCTTAGCTTAATTATTTTTTAAGCCTTAAATTTTATTTCAATCATATTTATTATCATTACTTATGTAACTTATAACTTGAGGTATGGTTATCACATATAGATTCGTATATGTCCAAACTTTTATTACCAAAAGACATTTTTTTACTTATTGTGGACTTCTTAATTGGACATTCTTTACTTAAACTTAGAAGATGTCCAATGTATTACTAAATTTTTTTAATAACAATAAAAAAATTGATTGTGGTACTCAGTACTCACGTCTGCACAAAATGTGTAAAATGCGCATTTAGTATTTTCGACGAAAAAAATATTCCAGGATAAAATATCTGGTTTTAAGTAAAAACAAATGTCTTGTAATGTTTATGTACAATTCTTAGTTTCTGCAAAAAAATTTAAAGGTCTCGTCAAAATGCACACGTTAGTCGAGTCTTTATTTTGCTCGGAATAAGCCAAAACATCAGAAATATTCCTTGAGTGTTAAAAATTTATCAAGAACCGTCAAATTGTTTTGGCTTTTCGTATTTAACCGAATTAAAATTTATTGCTTACTTAACTTAACAATTGTCAGTTTTTTTTAATACATATTCATATAAGGCAGTTTACACAAACGGCTTATGAAAATTTTATATTTGAAATCGAATGAAATAATATAATTATTTTTAGTTCATTTTGGGTAATAGGTCTAGACTTTATGTATTTATTTATTTATTTNTTAGCGTTCTTCTTATTATTTATTTTTAATATTTAGTTTTAGAGTACAAAGTTCGAACGGAAGAAAGTAATATATGAATATTTTTAAAAATATTTTAATTGCCTATCACATAAAGGCCATTACAGGATTTTTTAGTACATACTTACATACTTCTTTTACTATCTACTATGTTATAAGAACGAAATTATACCACGTCGCAGTTAATTATAACGACACATTTCATTAAATGTCGTAAATGTTGAATTGTCTTGAGACAATTTTTTGGAACCTAATTTAATAATAAATGTATATTTTATTTCATCGTAATTTGTGTATATATCGGTCAATCTAACTGTGTTAATCACATGTGTGAATTTTTCTCCATTGAAAATTTAATTCATATTTATTATTAATTTGATATAAACTTATTTCTTGCTCTACTAGTAAGGTTCGCCCCCTGCGTGCTCCGCGTACTTACCAACCCTCATATTAGCTGAAATTTAAAGTAATAAAACAAAGCTATTTAAATAAATTATTGTAACTAAAAAAATAATTTGTCTAATAAATGGCCAGAATAGTTAAACAAGTGATTTTTTTTAATTAAATCGGGAATAGAAGTATCAATAAATAGTAGCTACAAAAAAAATAATGGAAAATTTTACGGAAATTCATACTGAGCCAATATACTTTGGACTACTATGATAAAAAAAGTACCTAGTATTTGAAAAGAACAAAACGTTAATGATAAAGTAATGCATTCAACATATTTGAAAAAATTTATAAGTAAATTTGTTTATAAAGATATTAAGCTTAAAAAAAAAGTAAATAACTTTATCTTACTAATATATAAAGCACTAGCAGCCCCCCGTCTCGGCTTCGCCCGAGACTTACGAGATAAAACACCGTTGTGTGTTGACATGTAATGTGAAACATTTTCAGTTAGAAATTTTACACATATTCCTGATACATCTCAGAACAAAAATCTTCTTATTAAAACACCGTTGTGTGTTGACATGTAACGTGAAACATTTTAATTCGAAAAAATTATTATGCTGAAAAGTACCGTGCGTTCCTTATGCCATAAAATAATCGTTGGCCCTAAAAGGCCCTTGATTTGCAGTTTCTCCTGTATAATTTACGAAAAGGGCTATTTTTTTAAAGCTGTAAAGATTTAAGACTCACAAAAAATTAATAATTAAAAAATTTTTTTCTTTGATCTCACAACTTTATTACCAGAGCAACAAAGTCCTGGACCTTAAACCCTACATTTTTATTGCCACAAAAACACAAATACATTTTGTACTCATTAAAAAATCTGAAGTAGGATCTTTAAAGATTTCAGAGATTGCTGTGAGGGTACAATTAAAAGCTGATCTCTCACGTAATGGACTCTTTAGTTGTCGATTTTGACGCTGCTGATTCAATCTCGATAAATTTTCTGCGTCAGTTTCTTGACGCCTAAGTAAAATTGTATTTATTAGATACACTTGAAGTTTTTCTTCCAATTCACCCTCTTGCGACTTTTGGCATGCTTAAAATTTTTGTGACCCCTAAAGTCCGTTTTCTGTCAACTTTGTTAAGTTCTAATATATTTGTTGGCAAGGTAGTTCGACGTCCGATGGCCCTAAAAAAGACCGGTGAGCTTATTAAGTTAACTCTTTCTTGACTGCAGTTAACAGCAATTGTGACTGCCTGGATACCTCAGGGTGATCTTCTCTGGCTTGCTGTTGAAGACCCAGACTGATCGGGAGAAAAATTACAAAGTCCAAAGCTTTGGGGATGGTTGTAGTGCTCTTTCCCAACGTCTCCCGGTATAACGTCGAAGACGTTGGGGTCTAAAGCACCTTTGTTATTTGCAGATTCAGTTGTTTTGGTGATCTAAGATGGGGAGATTGGTTAGTGATACTTGTCCAGTGGAGGCTGTCCCGTTGGCTCAAGTTTTTTTTCCTTCATAGCTGTTATAGGTTTGCCCAACGCAGACCTTGGAGAGGATCAGTGATTCCTGGTTGAATGCTTAGAGTCGAGAGGGTAGTATAGGGTCGTCGGTCACCGGGTTTTCCAGCCTTGCGAAGAACAACTCCGCAGGTGACGTCTGCTAGTGAATGGCTGACTTGGTTTAATAGTATCCGTCTTTAGTTAATATAGTCTTTTAGTCGACGAATCGTTTCCGGAAATGGTAATAAAAATGTATTTGTTGGCCAGGTAGTTTACACTTAGGTGGATCCTAAAAAGAACCGATGAAATTGATGGTAAAGTAGGGAACGTAAATACTTATAATGGCCCTAAAAAGCGCCAGTGGTGAAGCTTCTAGGCTATTCTTATTCTTGATGATGAAGAGCTGGCTACGGTTGCTTGATTCTTACCCTGGGAGTCTCGAATATCTCGATATACGGAGACTGTGATAGAGGGAGGTACGCTGCTGACCAAAGAATATCTCGTCTCGGGTCGTTCCCCGGATAACCAACCGCTCATCGTCAGACGGGAACATGTGGGTAAGCGCATTGGGGACGCGACGACCAAGAAGGTAGCCGTTGTGGCTGCCCATGCCCCTCAGAGCTCAGAGCTGTTTTCCCTTGCTTACTTTTGTAGCCACAAATTCCCTCTGGGATTCCCTCACAACTCTGATGAGTTGAACCAGATTGTGCTCTGGCTACATATGTCTCCTGGTATTGTGGCAGAGATGGCATCGGTTGGAATTAGTTTTTTTTTTTTTGATCGCACTTATCGAGTTTCAGGGTAAATGGACACCTAGGTCCCTTTCCCCTTAGAGAAGAGTGTCGTCCGTAACCGGGATACCCAGCTGCAAGACTGTCATCAGCATTCTCTGTACAGCTCGTTGAACTGCCGAAGCTCGACAACATCACTATCGAGACGCTCCGGCGTATTATAACCACACTTATTTAATTATGTTGCAGGTAGCTTCGATTTTATGACGACGCCACCTAGCGGATTTTACTGAACTAAAGAGAAAAGCTTGCATATTTTTGCAAAACTTTAAGCTCATTTATTGCTATTGTTATTAAATTTTTTACGATAAAAACTATACTCAAACCATCTAGGAAGTATCATGAATCTGTGTGCAAAATTTCAACAAAATCGGTTCAGTAATTTTCGCGGTTAGCGATTACAACGGTTTTAGCGTTCTTCTTATCTTATCTTATCTTACTAATATATAAAGCAGAAGCGCTGAGATGTATCAGGTATATGTGTAATTTTTTAACTAAAAACGTTTCACATTACATTTAACACACTACGGTGTTTTATCTCGTAAGTCTCGGGCGAAGCCGAGACGGGGGGCTGCTAGTCTTGAGTGCGTGTTTACCCTCAATAAGACGATAATAATAAAATAGAAGAATTTGGAAAAACGCAATAACGAGGTAGTACATGGGCTTTTAGTAGAATTGTAAAAATAAAAAATATGACACACGAGCAAGCCACTCACGTTCAACTTATCTGACTTACCTGTGGTCTTATCGGTGGGCTACTACATGTTTTTCTACTTAATAAATGATTTAGGGGGTGACCCTAGACTTGCGTCATAGGAACAGTTTACACAGTTGCGACAGTCTAATAAGAACTAGCGTCCATATATGATATATACAATGTCAATTTGATAGCTCTTATATACATACTTAATAATTAATTTCATTTAAATGATTTCGATCCTACCTCTGCAATACGACTTGACTTTGTTTTACATTAAGTCATTTCCGCAGGTGGCCACGAGGGTGGCAGCACAGGTGGTTACGTATAGCAGATACTTATACTTATGTGTCAAAAGGCACGACGTACATATAAGTTTCCCAATGAGGTCAAACATCGACAGCCAATCAAGTCGCGTTTTGAAACCACGACGCATCACTTTTTTCAGGAGGGCTAAGAGTGTTTTATTACGGTGGGTGAAAGGCAAGAAGGTGTCTTAAGGTAGAAAATCCGTTGTCTCTAACAAATCAAAAAATTTTCTTGAATTTGAAATATGTTATACATTAAGTTTTTTTATGCCATAGAAAATTTTTTAAAGGTTATGGACCAGTACTAATTTTTAAGATATTTGAGTTTAAAAAATACTTTTCAACATGGGCTATAATAAGATACCTATAAGACTGTCACAATACCGTAAATGACGCACTTCACTCACTTGATTAACTCGGTCCACGGATTTTCTACCTTAAGTGTACCAAATGAATAATAAATAGTAACATAAAATTTCTTTTTTAACTAAACTAGTTATGTTGTGACTGACTTATGGTGGCTATTTTTATGCTCACTTTTATATTATTCAATAAGTTTAGCACATTACAAAAAGGTCATACAATTTTGTTCATATTTTTTTTCTTCCTAAACTTATTCACATACACTCTAAATTTTACTCTTTTAAGTAATAATTGAGTATTAATTTAAAACTAATTTTTTTTTAAATCTGTGCAACATCGTATAATTAACATAAGGGTCATTCGAAAATTACGTATAATTTTATTTTGTCGTAACTTTAATCAAATAAAGTGTTTAGTAAAAATGTTATATATTATTCGCATTGTGCAGCAATTTTGAATAACGCCACCTGCTGGGGTAGAGATGTCAATACTAACTAACAAGAATACACAGCCTCTTTTGGATGATTATCTTTTACGAGTTTTTACTTTAACAATAATACATATGTAACAACTAAAACATGTTCTTCCAGTCCCAAGTAGCATATTAATGGCAGTAAAAGCTTTTTTTATAATTCTATTTAAAGAAAATAAAAATTTATTGTATAAAATGGATGTAATGTTTGAATGAGCGTAATGACTATTACTTTTTATATGCTAACTTAAAAGTACTCCAAGAAATGAGTTGATATTTGAAAAAAACTGCAATGCTCACTCACTAAATACAAGTGTGTGAGGACAATTTTTTTCCATCAATGTACTGTTAAATGGGTATTTTTCAGCTCAGAAGTATACCCAACACCCAAAGAAGTTACGTCCGTTGTGTAATATACGTTATTGTTGAACTAAACGCTTGTAACAGGTAATTGTATAAAAAAAGCTGTGTTCTTGTTAGTTAGTATCGACATATTTTCGCCTAAAGGTGATGCTATTTCAAATTGCTGCACGAAGAAAATATAGATAAATAAAAAAGCTTTAGTCGCGTGACAATAAATCTTTTTAGATAGGAGTTATCATAATATCAAAATATAAATAATACTTCAACAGACGAGAAATACAAATAAACGTTTTTTACCACAAATTTTTTTGTTGATTATTCAAATCTTCGTACAATCACTTAAGAACAGTAATGCATTTAGGGTCATTTTTTATTAATAAAAAAATGAGATGAATATTGTAAAAATTCCCAGAGTTTCCTGACACTTTTAACAATAATTTTTGTACTATCTTAATTATATATCTTAATCAGTGTATGCCAACGATTGAAAACTGTTTAAGACTATGCAAAGGAGACGCAGAAAAATCCAAAACAGTTTTTTAATCAATGGCAACCTGACTGTCCTGTACTTTGTTAAAATTTAATGACCCTAAATGTACGGTGATAGGTGATTACTTTTTCACTTGAACCTATAATTATTTTCGTGTGAATAACCTTATTGGCCTAAGTGTTACGATGGATAAGAAACTAATATTTAATTCACACATACAACTTCTTCAAAAGTTTTTAAAATATTGTCACACGAATTACGTTTCTCTAATAAATGTAATAATACTAAAACCTTATGGTGGTTCATGTGAAAATTAAAAACTGGGCGATCAAAATAAGACTTGGAGAGGTTTTTTACGAACTTTTTATATACCTCTCTGCAAAATTTCAGATAGGCTTATAGCATAAAATCCTCAATAAAATCACGAGAACGAGACGTTCGAAAATCGTCATTAAGCAGTAGGATAACACGGGCTCTTATGGACGTACACAATTTTGTTACCGAATGTCATGCGATTACTTTTCGTAGAACTGGGACAGGATGATGAAAAACTAGAGTAATAAACTAGACGTCATCCCATTTGCAAATGGTTCGTTGAAAATTTTATCTTATAGGACAAAATTAAAACATATTGATCGAAACGCAATAATGCATTGCCATTTACTATGTTAAAAGCATACGCGAGATTCGACTGCTAATTTTTTGAGGTTAATCAGAATTACTTAAAAAAGTTTTTAGAAACTTTAATATTGGATATTGTGATTTATAATGTGACATGGATGCTTTATTTCATTCAATGAAAAATATTTGATAACATATTTATAAATATTGACAGCTTCAACAGAAATTATCTTTTCAGTTGCACATTTGGCTCGGGAGTCGTGCATGAACCACCTTAATAATGCTATAAAGAGCTTTCGTTAGATCAATAACTGTCTGTGCTGTATATAAGTAACCCAGTCTGGTCGCCGATCTATGAGTACCAGATTTACTGACACGAGAAAATCCATCATGGATTTTTAAAAAGATGGACTCAACTACGATTGATCGTTGTCTTAGAATAAAATATTAGATCAATCACTTTCTTATTTAAATTAACTGATCTGTAAATGCTTTACAAACTTATCACAGGTGAATTATTAGCACCTATCCTGCGTAGTAAAAACCATCTTTGGAAAAACGTTTTTTAAAGTTTAGTGGAAAAAAAGTTTTTTCAAAGGTTTCCAATGACCCATTCCCACAGTTTTACTGAACTAAAAAAAAACTTTTGACAAACTTTATATCAAGTTATATTTGATTTTAATAAAACGTGGTTATCATTCGTGAATTTGAAAAAATGTATACAAAAGTTAATAGAAAGTTTTAGTAAGGTTTGCAAAAACTTTACTGCATATTATACAATAATAAAGAAAATTAAAATTTTTCATACATTCAATTTTAGAATGGCTTTTTTATTGACAAAGTTTAGAAAAACATTTGCAAAATTTTTGTTATTTAGTTATTTTCATCTCATCGATAAAAAGGGTTTTTTTTAACAAAAAAGTCGTTACTATCACTTATTACTTACAAATGAACGAACTACGTAATAACATAATAAATATTACGTCAGATTAAAACGTAACAATCTCAACAAGAGATCAACATTTATCAATCGTTCCTGCACATTTGTAAAACAAACATTTTAATATGTAACTCTCGAACATTCTCGCTATTGCTGCCGAAAAGATCATCCCTACCTGTATGTTAAGATTTGAATGAAGAAAAAAAAAAGTAATGAAATAAATTAAAAAAGTTTTTTATATTTATTGTTAGTGGAGACTCAGCAAAACTATTCGTATATTGTTATTTGTACTAAACTATAAAATTGATAATTTCTTGTGTACTTAACTGTATAAATAAATACTTTAACTATACGAGTTTCTTGTCTGAAAACTAATAGTTTAAAACTAAACATTCTAGATACCTTTTCTATTACCAATAAAAAAAAAAATTACAAATTTTTTTCTTAAACTTCGTATTTTCGTATGGTTTTTGTGTGAATTATTCACAACAAAAATTGATTTTCTAAATGTTTTGATCGAACCCGAAAAAATTTCAAAAAAATTTAGACAAAACACCTAATAAATCCTAATGCACCTTAAAATTTTTTACTTAAAGGACCAAAGCGTCTCGGCAAAAAAACATAAATACGCGAAGGCACTTCGAATTCCTGTACATCCTCACAGTCGACCAATAGCCGCTCGGCAACCGCGCAAGCGCAATCCAACATTTCGGAATTTCTCCCCTCTTCGTCTCCCCATATGACGTCAGACCGGTCATCCCATATCGATGAAATGCCCACGTCTACAGCTGCGCTTCTGCTTAACAACAAGGACGCCCAGAGATGCGTTAACACGTGCTCGAACGGAAGTATCTCATTGTGAAAGCGCTGTGCTTCTCTTTCGAAGAAGTGATAAGGGAGAAGAGGGAAGAAAAAAAGAAAAATAAAACGATAATAGTTTCTTCTCCCCGTGATATATTTTTCTCTCGCTCGTCTATTGCATCTCTATACGTGTCTGTAGTTTAGAGTTAGCGCACTTCGGCACGAGACGTTACTCCGTCCAAGCGTGTATTACTGGGCACCCATACGAGACGATCGGTAACTATCTTTTCTCTCTTCATTCCCAGTACCACTCGATCCTTTTGCTGTACTTTCTCTTTTATTTTCCCTATAGGCAATCGGTCGTTGCTGTTCCCTGTACACTTTTCTCTTGCTTTCTTACTTACGCTGCTTTGATCTCTTGGTATTAGTGTACGTTCGTACCCATCCATCCACAGTTTGCTTTTATTGGTATCATTCCATAAGTATTACATATTTTTTTGTTCACAGTCAATTTCCACCTCGAGTGACTCTATAAACTATATAAACCGTTAAAATCCGTTCGGTATGTACGGATCGGTAATTCGGTACGTGCGTGGTACAAGCGATTCAAAGCGTATAGTTTAGCGTGCGACAACTTGAAAAATAAATGACCGTGTCAAATCCGAGTGATTTAAAGCGCATGCGTTGTTGATATCACATCGAATCATCGTGTATATATTCTTTGGAGCAAAAAATAAAATACAAGGCCTTTTTTGAACGACGCAGCGTAATTGGTTGAACTTACACTTACCTACACGCGTGTGTGTGTGTGTGTGGGTGTATGTGTGTATGTTATAAAAACGTTTGCAACGCGCATATCATATCGCTTCGAAGCTCGTCCACGGTTAAAGGGTTAACTTTTTATCGCTTGCTTATGCGCGTTCCGTTTTTAAGAAAAATGTTTTTGCGTATTAACACAGTTTTGCGATGTGGCATTTAACAACAGTAGTTTCATGCTTTCTCGGTATACAAGTGTATTTCTTTGTATTTTTTAGCTCTAATAACTTGACGTATCGTTTGTATTATCGTCGTTTAATTGCATAATATTTATTTGACCTTTTTTGTTTAATATAGATTTTAATACGTTTTTGTAAAAGTTTTATTTTAATGATTATATTAAATTTTTAAGTATCGCTAATCGCTATAGTAACGGAGTACGAATAGAGTTATCAGTTATCTTACGTTTCATTTTTTGTTGAGAAAAATTCGAGACCAAAGTGACGTTAAAAACATCGAGGCCATTTCAAAGTTTCTCTGAATTCAATTAATGTACGTAGAAAATCAATATTTTTAACTTTAAATTATGCTGAAAAATTGACAGTACGGATGATGATTAATATTTTAAAAAAATGTATCGTGTGTATATCATTGTTTTTTTTTTTTTGTTTCTAAAATCCGCTTCTACGTTAAAATACGTAAATTTTTTTTCGTCGAAAAATTATGAAGTAAATATTTCTTTACAGATTTGAAACCTTAAACATTATTCTGATCATATAGTAATTATAACAGTATAGTAATAAGAAATCTTTTAAATTGTATATGAATGAGAAATAATTAAATTTGTCTCATTAATTTCCATTTTTAAAAGAAAACCTTTTTGTCCATAAAAGTAATTAACCTTTTAGTAAGTTTTTAGAAATCGGTTATATTAATATTTTTATAACAGTACCTCTATTAGTTCTTTGATAAATAAATTTGTTGATTAATTTGGAATATGCTACATTAACATATACCTACATCCTTTAAATAGTGTAAATATTATGAAGAATATCCAATATAAAAATAAACGACAATTTGGTTGGTTGAGCATGACTCTTTATTATTAAAAAGTGTTACATTTGTCCGATATTTCGGCAATTTCGTATTGCCATCATCAGAAAATTCTTACTTTATAAATAAAAAGGAATATAAAAAACATTAACAATATAATATGTAAAAAAAGGCTTGCTCTTAGTGGCTTACTTACAAAAATTAAAAAAAAATAAATAAAATAAATGGTGGAGTCCTAACATTGCACACACAGCCCTTCGTGGCCAAAGAATACATTTAAAATATCAACAAAATTTCTCCATGTACATAAAGAAATACATATATAATATATATATATATATATATACACACAATACGTTTAATGAGTATTTTTTAGACATATACTTTTTCTGTATGTACGTCAAGAAATGTTGTTGATATTTTAAATATATTGTTTGGCCACCAAGGGCTGCATGGGCTATATTAGGACTCAACCATTTATCTTATTTATTTTGTTTGAATTTTTGTAAGTAAGCTACTAGGAGCAACCCTTTTTTAGATATTATATTTTTCATGCTTTTTACATTCATTTTCGTTTATATAATAAGTTGTTCTTGACGATGGCAATACTAAATTACCGAAATATTGGACAAATGTAATACTTTTTGATGATAAATATTCCTGCTCAACCAACCAAATTGTCTTTAATTTTTATATTGAATCTTGGACAACTGAGCAAGTTTGAGATAATTGGAGATGTTATAATTCATTTTGAAAAATCATATACCATTTTTTTTAATTAGGCCAATTGAAGTCATTCGAAGGAATCTACATTCATAAATATTAAAAAAAAGAACAGTTTCTAATATCTTATAATAAAAGTATCCTTTGAACGATCATAGGCTTTTATCGTCAAGACATCGTGCTATTAAATCCTTTTTCGATTCAGATTGGTTCTCCGTATCAAAAATTAAAGAAGTTTCAATATTATTATCAACTCAAAAAAGCCAGTGTATCGATATTTATATGTAATTGTTTCCCTCAACCGTCACTCTAACCTAAGATCCATTTAGCTCAGTTATAATCGTAAAAAATAACATCTTAAGGAAGTTCTTCACCAAGATGAAAAATATAAAAATTCGATAAAAACTTATAAAAATATCATTTAAACTTGTAGATGATCTTCAAAGTTTCAGAGTTATTCAGAATCTATAAGCTAAGAAATCGAATGCACAGTTACCACGTACTCGTCCAGAACTCTTAAATCTAGCTTTGTTATAAACTTTACTATATTTTTTATCTACTCTAAATAATCTGATTTGCAATAGTTAAAAATACGTTTTTATTGGTTATTAGTTATTAAAACTATCTCTAGGTCTTAGAATATTTTATAAGCTTCTAAAAAATTTATTATAGTACCGATAAGTGAGGTTACAAACCGTCGTAGCAGGCTTGGATACAGTACCTTTCTTTACGTTTACGTTAAACTATTTTTTACAAATTCAGATACTAGAGCTGCTTAGTCCAGTCTTTTCAGTGAATTTTTTTTTGGAATTTGCACCTCAGTTATACATAAATGTTTTATAATTTTTTTTTTTCACGTTCTTCGAAAACACGTCAAATTTTAAAAAAATATTCAAAGCCATTGTATCCCTCTTACTATAGCAATACAGCGTGCTCTATAGTTTGGTATTTCGTCTGTGCTTGTCACATTCATGCACAAACATAACTTGTATACCCTAGTACTTTCTACTTCGATTATGAATTAATTTCTTCTTTCAGAAGTACCTTCAAGGTATTTTATTAATTTAAATAAAATAATTAAATGTTTTTGGAATACACTAAGAAATATCATCAAAAGTTTATGGTTATTTTGTGTGATATGGGTAACTAAACCTTATGCAAAGGAATGCAATCAACATTCATATTTTCTTCCTATGCTTTAAAAAAAATTGATAGAGTTCTTTTTAGACATTAATTCGGCTGTCAGCCATGTTTCATGAAGATCTCATTATTTTGATTGGGGATACAACTACTTGCAATGATTTCTTATGCTTTAAAAAATTCTCAAACTAAAAAAAAAAATAATCGAATAGAAATAATCATTAAAATTTTCATGATTTTTTGTGAATTTGGTAAAATTTATTAATAACCGTTCCTACACTGGTACTATTAACTTAATTTTTATTATAAATCAAAACGTTAATACTCGATGAGAGAAAAGTACAAATAGTTATAAAAAGCTCAAATTTTTTCAGGAGGCTGTAATTAAAGAGTATCACCATGACGATTGCAGCTACAAGACTGATTACATTTTTAGTTATACTTAAGATAATTTCCGCGCAAAACTGGAATCTAGGCAATGGTTTGATCTACGATATGACAACAAGTATCCTGCTTGGAGAGACCTCCCAATCGGTACACGATAGTAAAGATGATGTGGGTTTCCAAGTGACTGCCAAAGTTAGGGTTTCACCCATTTGGAAAGATCCCACCGATCCCGAAACTACTCTGATATCAATAAAGACTGATTCTCTTCAACTATGGATAAAATCAAGAAAAGCCCCAAAGCCCGAAGGTTTCGTGAAACACACTTCACGTTTAGAAGATGCACCAAAGGAGCCGATATTTTTACTCTGGAAAAAGGGCCAGATAAAAACGATTTTCGCTAATTCCGATGAAAGCATATCATCTTTGAATCTCAAACGTGGCATTGCGAGCATATTCCAATACAAAACTGTTGACAGTGTGTTTCAAGAAAGAGATGCAAGTGGTTTGTGTAATGTGACGTACAAGTTTGTTCGACCAAAAGTATTAAATAAAATAAAAGAGTTTTGCAAATCCACTAAACATCAACATTCCAATCCAATCCTAGGAGTTAGAGTTAGTAATCTGAACTCCATCACTTACGAATTGACTGAGACTCTGATTCCGAAGCACGTAATCGAAGAAGAAAAGCATGAAATGCATTTGGTCGCCAAGTTGGACGCCAGATCATCAGTCACCACTCACAGGACTTTCCGATTGCTTCCGGAAACTTTTGTGGGAGAAACAGTTGTCGCATCGACGTACCCGGAAGTTTTCAATAAATTCAATTCACGTTTCGTGGACATATCGATCGAAACCCAAAACGAGCACACGCCTTGTCCCGAATCGGGCTGCCTCACACTGGAAGCTGCTCTAGAAAACTACTCCAAAGCTCTTGAATCCGCCAACTTGGGAACGGCGAAATCGGCATCTGCTTTTTTGAAAATAGTTCCTCTGATCCGAGAAGCTTCCGCGGAGAATCTTGCAAAAATCTTGAAGAGTCCGCGCAATCACGATATTCTACCTCAGCTGTATGACCTTTATGGCTCCGCGTCTACGTTAGCTGCGCACCAAGCAGCAATGAAGATTCTTAGACAAGACGAACTTGGTGATAACACGGAAAGATATTTGTGGGCGCTTTCCACTTCCGCGTATCCAGATGCTAGTATCATCAAGGACGTTTTGAAAAGATCCGAAGAAGTCATACAAAACGATAAGCTGTCGGAAACTTACGCGTTGACAGCAGCAGCTATGGCTAAGCGACACGGTGGCTTGAGCGTCATTGAGTTGGTGAAAGACAGCTTGGAACTCGGGCTTCACACTTGCACGGGGGAACAATGCAAAATGAAATTTCTCCGGTCGTTGGGAAATCTTGGCAGCAAAGGTGTGGTCCCTATATTACTCAGACATACCAACAGTAGTAAATCACTGAGTGTCATTGCTTGGAAAGCTATCAGCTCTTTGTGCGCTTCTCTCATTACTGGGGATGTAAAAAAACTGGCCATGAAAACGTTTTTCCAACTGAACGGGCAAAAAATCGACAGCACCGTAAGGACATTGACTTTGAACGTCATTCTCGAAAATGATCCTTCGGTTGATGAGTTGCACGCGCTGCTGTTGTATCTCACAAAGCGGGATAAGGTGTACGAGGTTCAGAAATACCTAGTCCAAAGGATTCAGCAGCTGGCCAGCACTGATGTTCAATTCAACGAAAAACTTGAAGCAGCTTTGAAGAGAGATTTTTACAAATTATTTAATTATAATACGTATGCACAAAGAGGATTGAGTACTGCGTTCACTAGAGACTTTGTTCGATCGGCTGGCAGTAATGGTTCGCTTGTGACGATTCAAGAAATAAACTCTGGCCTTTTAAAAAGAGGAGTCGTTGATATAGTGCTGGAGAGTGGCTCTCATAAATACACGTTCTTTTCCCTTGGCTTGTTTGCCGGAGGACTCAATAGTTTCGTATCCTCAAACGAGCCAGAAGACAATGAAATTCCAACGGACAATGAACCTGCCACTGCTGGAATGGAACTATCAGTCTTGGATGTTGATATACGTCCATTCGTCTTCTTTTCTGGTCAGGGAGAATTGATGGGGCACGTGTGGTCTGGAACAGCCTCCGAACGCACCGCGGCTTTTCAGACAATAGTCAATCTTCATCGCCATAGGGAAGTCATTTTTTTGGGATCCGGATTTGTAGTTGAAATAGGAGTTGAAGGAGCAATAAGCATTGATTTGGCAGGTCACGTGCAGTTGAGCCTTTGGTCCAGAAATGCTCAGTCTATCGTTGAATTGGGAGCTGGAATTGCAATTCAGGGCAGCAGCAAGATATTGACCAACTTTGTACAAAGTAGAGCCGAGTTTACTTTGAATTTGGAACCGAAACTCGAACTTGCCACCGATGTTGATTTTTCGGGTCCGGTATCGCTATGTATGAGATTAGCGCAACCTCAAACGACATTGAAGCATCTGGTTTACAAAGTGGAAAGGATACCTGGTAGTCGGCATAGATTGAGGAAAACGAGAAGAATGCAGTCGCTCTCGCCAGCTCGTTCATATCTACTTAATAGTAAGAATAATGAAATGTGTGCAAAAATTTTCAGTTAACATTCAACACTTTGAATATAAACATTTTTTGCAGTAAAGAATAACATTACGATGTATTGTTTCTTTTGTATAAGTTATTGCGCAAGTATACTGACGTGATCGGTTATTATGAATTGTTACTAGTACAATAAGTCGTCGAACAACGATAACAGCCAAATAATGATTTTATCTTACACGATAAGAAGGTATCACATTGTGTACCACTACTGATTTTTTTATTTATAGCTTATGTTTTTTTTGCTTGTATATAAATTGAACGCACTTTAAGATTTTGTAAACTGATATAAAAGGCATATGGGTTTATAATAGACGTAGTTTACGCAGATTTCATTAATTTTCTCATATTCGAGTGCTTGAGATTTTATTAATATTTTTGAAGGTGGGCTGTTTCCAAGATATATTAGTTTTGTAATAATTTTTCGCTCTTAGCATACATCAACATACTGATTTTTGCATTTAATAAATTACTTGTCATATTTTTCGTGATTTATGGTAGTTATTGTCACAAAAGTGCCATCACCTACTGGGCTATTTTGTGATACGAGGGTTCTGCAAAGTGTCCGACCGTAATGTAGTTCCAGATAGATGGCACTTGTGTGCGAAACACTGCTTTTCCTACCAACGGCACATCTAACCCTCAAAAACGCCTGAGGTACGAAAAATAATTTTTTAGATATTAAGAGTTTACAGTGAAAATTTCAGGTGATAATCATTAGAATGATCGTTAAAATAATAATTCATCTCTCAATGAAATGTATTGAGAATGACTAGAGATCAATTACTTTTATTAATAACTTTTCAACCATGTGATACTCAATAGTTAATAAATAAACGTTTGTTTAATTGATTTTTAAGAGAAAAATCTAAATAGTATACAAAATGCTTAAAAATATATCAATGAGTTGATGAATAATAAGTTAAAAGTTTATAAAGAATTGAAATACCAGCAAAACGTTATTCAAGCATTTTTTTGTTGTATTTAACATGTCTTAACTATGCTTTTACATCACTAACAAAATTCATCACAATGTGTCGAATAACTTTATAGTTTTCTATGTTTGGAAACTTTTTGGTTTTCATAGCCAATTTATTGTTTTATATGTGCTGTTCGTCATTTACAACAACCAGTCCTTTAATTACAGCTTTTCTATGAAATATTCATAACTTAAATGTATCATGTATCAATTTAAAAGAAAGAAAGAACAAAACAGTTTAATTTTTCTATCAGAATTCATTCATGAATTTTTATTGAAATTTCTCTAAAACACTTGTAAAAAAAACGTTTTTTAATAAAACTGTTGCTTTAGAATTAAAAACACTGTTTTTATTTATTTTTTTTTTTTTTAACATGCATTTATTTGTAAATGAGATACTAAGTTTAACTAAGTAAGTTACAATATATTTATTTCTTTTTAAATTGGCCTAATTCATAAGTTTTTACCTAATTAAAAGGAAATTATGTTTTTGTTTCTTATGAAACTAAATTACAAAAAAAATATAACGCGTTAGCTAAGATGTATTGTTGAATATTGTCTACGATATTCTGCAACCGTCTTCTAATAATTTTTTCTAGTTTCACATTTGACAGTAAGAAGTTCTTAAGTTGATTTCAAGGGGTTCTTAATTTTTTTTTTTTTTTTTTTTT